GAAACGTCGGCAACACAGCTTTCGACGCGGCGTCACCCGGACCGCCCAGATCACCCACATGACTATGGCCGCGGAAGCCTACGTTTTCGTTAAGTCATCCCTTCATTTTCTTTTCCCCATGCTCACGAAATTAAGTAATTCGTGCCTGACAAGATCAATTGGTGTGTGTTAATTCCTGTTCCCAACCGGCATGAATGCGATAATATAAAGCGAGATAGCAACCACAAAGCGACGACCAACGCGGTGGGTCAGTCCAACGAAGCGTTGGTGAGCGGCGGTGTGGGCGGGTGTGCGCAGGCTGTCGCTGCCGGACCGGCTGCTGTACGGGGGCGTGCCCGTGGGCGAGTCGGCCGTGCGCTCGCAGGAGCAGGTGGGCACGCGCGTGGTGCACGTCTTCAAGCTGTACAACGCCGGGCCGTGGGTGGCGCGCAACGTGGAGCTGCGCATCGACTGGCCGCACCAGGTGTACAGCCCCAAGCAGCTGGGCAAGTGGCTACTCTACCTCGCGGAGCCCCTGCGCCTCGACGGTAAGTGCTCAACCGACTCTAATTATTATAATAAAATAAATAAATGAGTAAATAAATAAGCAAAATAATTAAGTAAATAAATAAACAAACTAAATGAAATAATTAAGTAAATAAATAAAAATAAAAAATGAAGACAATAAAATGAATCGGGGGGAGGGGGGCTGAACTTTACCTTCGCCATGCCGTAGCTATACTTAGATTTTTACTTTTTCGCTACCGCTCACGAAGGACAGAGAACGTCATGTAATGCTGCGCGTGAAAACTGCGAATTTTCGGCAGAAAACATATTAGAGGGTCCTGGTAACAAAAAAAGTGGATAACTCCAGTTGCTAAATTTAGAAGAAAAATCCTCTAACACGTCGTATAGCCAGAGCCCTTGTTTTGTGGATCCTTGATACCAAAAAGTCGAATGACGGCAAAACGTCTGTCTGTCCGTGTGTGTGAAACGCTAGCGGCTAAACCGTCCAGCTTATTTTCTCCAAAATTGATATTCACTTATCAATCTAGCTGACGTCATCGCTACTTGAATTTGAAACCGATATTTTAAATTTGGGGTTTCTTTACATGTAGCTTCTGGAACATTTTTCAAATTTTCAAAAAAATGGCTCCAACGTTTTTGATTAAGTATTTTTGTTGGACAATGTGAAGGACGTTTAAGAGAATGGTGCAGGTATTATGTTCGTTGAAAACCTGATTTTTCCTAAATTGCAAAAGTTAAAAATTTTTTCGGAGTATTCATACAACAAACATTTTGTTGATATAGATTTTTCCCTTAATAAAATCTGTTCCTTAAATGTGGATTTTGAAGTAAAGTCATGTTCAATTTTTGGTTAATTTGAGTACTTTTCGAATACTTTTGCGGGGTCAAAATATGGGCAAAAAAGTTCGTGCTGTTTTAGCGCCACTAATTTAAAGTGGTCGATGGCTTTATGTTAAATTTTAATCCTCCTGCCTTATAAGATGAATCTTTTTTATTAAATCGCTAACATCCTTCCCAACGGGACTCGTAGTCTCATTAATGTGCTTACCACTGTTAAAAAGATTCTAGAAATTTTATAAGGTAGGTGTAACAATGACCTAATGTCGTCGATCACTTAAAAACAACGAAGTATGCTTAGGCACAGACAGGTGTCAGGACGCGGCGTCTCCCGAACAGCCAAGTAGCTACTGACTCCGGCCGCGGAAGCCGACGCTCTCATTTGGAAGCCGACGTACTCATTGCCTGGCGATATGGGTAGGGTAAAGACGAGCGACCATGTATGCTGTAACTGAATGAATTTTTGGCATATATAATTTTGTTGGCCACACTCATGGTTGTTGAAGTAAATTACGGATATCGAATGTCTGGAAGTGCTGTTGGAATGGAACTGCCCGATAAAAACTAGTGAAGTTAGCTGTAAAAGAATTTTGGCATAAAATGTATTTGTATTTTAAAATTTCCAGATTTAAGGATGCTTGAGGTTAGATTATCTCGGATAATGTAAAATCACTATGAAAAATACATTGTCCCCTGAACCTACAGAGAAGCGAAGATAATGTAATGTTTAACCATGAATGGCAGCAGTTTGTGGAATAACATATCATTTACGGAATAAAAATCGTTTTACAATTCAGGATTGCTTGCGACAGAACCGTGTCACGGAACCGTAAGCGACGCATGGCCCACTCTCAGCTCCCCTCAAGTTGGTGTGGCTGGCAGTGGCCCTGTTGTTAGTGTAGCAGGCACCCAGGAGCCGTAAAATATCAAGCGTCGTTCAGCATTCGTCCTAAGGCCTACGCGAGCGTTGTGGGGAGATTACGTTTGCAATGTTTCTATGCATATGGCTGAGGGATGACGTAAGGTGATTGGACGAATAGAACGTGAAGAGCCACGTTGTCGGATTCTGTGACTTACAGAAGGGTTTGAAGCACTTTTGGAAGGGAACATTTTTAAATAAACTTTGAATATACAAGACGCAAAATTGAGCGCTCTCATAAAAACTGGTTGAGCAGAGTATAATACGAGACGAAAAGAAACTTGCGAGGAATATAAAGCGTCTGTGTTAAAGTATAGTTCAGTATAAGCAACGTAAAGTAGTATATTCGTTGAAATATCCTCCTGTGTTTCACTTACGAGTAAGGTGTGAAATTTCATTTTTGATATTGTGCAACATCGTAAAGCTTTTCGTTCACAAGGTCTATTATACAAAAAGGAAAACACTACATGGTTCATCAACTGAATGTAATTTCTGGAGCCGGACTTGTGACTCGCGAGCTTTCAACATTTTTTGAAATCGGTATTATTTTTATACCACGCAGTTGCTTCACACCACACACATTTTCTCGAAAACTCGCTAACTGAATACTTAAACTGTCATCTTGTGTTTGTTAATGCCCACAACTGGAGTTCAAGAGTGACGTAGTTCGCGAAAATGCGCTAATTAGGGAAAATGTTCTTTTACTTAAAGGGAAGTTGCAAAGAGAGTTCCAAGAGAATCAAGCGAGAACACGCCAACTTGCTAATTTCATTTCACTGCTAATGAAGTGCCCATTTCGAGACGAAAGCGATCGTCGAAATACTCAAAGAAAGGTGAACGAATCCACTCCCTAATGAGCGGAAATGAAGCGTTTGTGTGAGATAGCCGAACGAATCTATCTGGTTTTGTTAACTAAATTATGTTCAACCATGGAGTTGTAAAATAATTATCAGAGTTTTCTGGGTGTAGTATTTCAATAATAGGGGTAATAGATACTCGTGTTTTAGGTCGTTTGATACTATTTTTCTCCAATTAATTAATTAATTCATCCATTAATTTCATTATTAATATGTGCCTAATAAACTATTGTAAAGTACATAATAATTAGTAATACGATGCACTTTGTTTATTTTTTTTAATAGTAATACATATTTGAAGTTACTTGTTGTGTTGCACATGCACTCCAGCAACGTGTAAACATTTACGTGCTTTATAATTATGCAAAAAAGAAATTTGCAGCTTACAAAAAAGAGCTTAATTTCATATTATTACAAAGAAGTTCGAATCGAAAACCAAACGAATGTTTTATGTCACAGATATACTGATCATGATGTGACAAGCATTTTATTTGTTCGATGTAATAACACGGTTTACATTATGAAACGGGAATAGTTTTTATGGTATATGAAACCGATCTCCATGAATTTGCATACTCTAAACAGCCTTCGAATGATGTTATCAATGTAAACGAATGTCTTTCATATACTAAGCCATTTGGTTGTGTAATTTTAGGAGGCCTAGAGCAGTTGCTTTGCAGTGTTATCAATGAAAGCAAGTGCAATTTTCGTGACCGAGGCTTCTAGGTCTCTTGATTTTCTATCTCGTAACACGTTTCATGTTGCTTGATTGTTGATATTTGCAGTGAAAGCAAATATAAATTTGTGATCGAAACGAACGGTCTATAGTTTTAAGAGCTTCGGGCAGTTTGCTTTCTTTTCGTCGGAAGGCAGATATTTTCAGTGCAAACAAAATGAATTTTCCTCGCGGTCAGCGAAGAGCCCCACGGTGTCAATCCGAGTGTTTGTCCGAAGAACGGCAAGTGACTATTCACACATGAGATTTTCACCAGTAGCGTTCAAATATCCATCTTGAATTAGTCAATCACCGCATATTCTCCCAGGGTAAGTATTTCTTTTGTCCCCTCGTTACTTCAAAAACTCAGCGATCGAATGTTATTGAAGAGACCTGTATTTATTAGCTATAAGCTATTATTGAGTTACAGAATGTTGATGCATGGGTAATAAATTTAATGATATTTACCTTGATAATTTTATTTTGAATTTTTATAATTTAGTCGACATCTTATATGTGAGAGCGTGTTCATAAACAATTCTTGTGGATCTGATTTCCACCGATAAATTCACTAGCCGCTAGGTCGCAATTCACTAGCCGCTCGTGAAGTTATTGCTAAACTCAGAACCTGCCTTGATATGTTTGATAAATGTATAACTACAAAGAGCATTTTCATTTCTTCCAACACATGGACATAGATTCAAACAATGTAGCAATATATTTTTCTGACTAGTTTCTTTGTACCATACCGTATAATAGAGTTTTTTTTGTTTTTTTTGAAATGAAATTTTGTTTATGTGAATTATAAAACTGCTAAGGGTTTATGGGAATTAGTTTCATGAAGGAAGAAATGAAGTGAAATGTGCGTACATTCAAGTATTATATTTGTTTTCTTAGTAAATCTTTGTATAAACTACGGGAAGTGAGACCTCTGAGCAAGCGAGATATGAAAAAAACATTAATAGAGAAAAAATCCATATTTTGAATGTTTGTATGCTCTTTGCAATGCGAATAAGACTCTCACATTCACAGTTTGATCAGTCCAGAATTACAAACTGGAATTAACAAAACGGTGGTGCCCTTCATTTGTATTTCATAATAATTCCACATGATAATTGCTAGAGCCAATTACATCAATTCCGTACGAAAGACCACAGAGGAATCCAAAACTAATATTTAAAAGAGATTCCTTTTCATGGAGGATTCCGGGACTCAAATTTTCTTGAAAGGTTTTTTATAATTTGAACACTACGTGACAACAATTTGAAATGGTCTCTTTTTTATAAACATTATTGGAATATATATTTTCGTGGATATCCGTTGTAAGAATATGATTTTGATCTGCATTTTGAGTGTTTATTCCATTTATCAGCCACACAACAGGAGGACGAAGCGAAGCAACTTACCGTAGCGCTGTCATGCTTGGATATGCTAACAGACTACGAGACCCAATACCATCTAAATACATTGTAATCTAATTATAATGCCTCCAAGTGCCTCCTCCTTCGTTATCATGCTTACAATGCTGATTGTTGATGTAATCCCCCGAAAAGATGGACAATGGACATATTGCTAATATATGAAGAAACGTCCCGCCTCTAATTTCTAAATAAAAATGTAAAGCAATGTTGCAAAGTATATAAGAAATTGTCATTATTATAAGAAATAATTGCATTACATTGATTTTTTATT